TCCAAAAAGGGCAAGAAAAAATAATGTCGACCCTCCCTGGTAGTGCAGTGGGTTAAAGCACAGCACTAAGAAAAATGTTTTTTTTTTTTTTTTTTTAGCTTTCTGAAATAGAATTATATAAAGACTTTAATATTTAATGTACTTGCTCCAGAGCAATGCTCTTAAAAGCAGGTTGATTCCACGCCAACAGACGTAAAACAGGACACCTTATAAAAATTGAGTTAACATTGGTTTACATCTTGAGTCTTAGAGGTAAAGGATATATATCTTTGCAGATACAAGGGTTGGGGGAAGGGTGTCCTGAACAAACTCCACAAATAGGAGACCCCAGAACAAAACGACCCAAGCCACCAAGGAGTACGAATCCCATCATGTCGTCTCCACTGGAGGGAGGATGCCGGGAACTGAGGGTGGAGGTAAGCAGCCAGGTTTGGTAGATAACCACACACACGAGCCTTGGGGCACTTTTTTTTTTTTTTTGCCAACTTTCAGCATGCTATTGGGGTTCCAGCTCAGTGGAACTGCAGGACACATTCACTAATTTCTCTCTCGTTCTCCTTGAGTTACTCATTTCTTTATTTTCTCTTTTTGTAAATAAACTCTTGCCTGCAGCTGAATCTCACTATAAGTTCCTTTTCTTTCTTTCTTTTTTTTTTTAAGATTTATTTATGCATACAAGGATGGGGAACAAGCCAGAGGTGTGGGGGTGAAAGGATTTATCAGAGACAGAGTGGGGAGCAGAACAGGCAGATTTACTTAAATACACTGCTGAGGGGAGCAGCAGGCAAGACAGGAGAGGACTGCAGCACCAGGTGGGTCAGCTCCCTGGCCGGGGATCGAACTTGTGCTGCAGTGACTGTGAATAGCTTCGGAGTGCTGCTCTTTTACTCCTTGCACCCCCAGGGAGGGCCTCGGTATCAGTCCCTTCGAAGTGCACGGATGAGGACCCACAGTCAGGCCAACCCATTTCACATTGAGGTTGCCTGTAACACAAGGTTTGCCACTTTTTTACCTGCGCTGTGTGTAGTTTGTAGAAAGATATGCTCCATGTAAGAACTGCTAAAAGGAAGTGCCGGGTAAGCGACACTGGTTTAAACAAGTGAAGCTAGTATTGTCTTTCCAGATCATTTGCTCTAGCGCAGTGCCTCAGGCTCCGTCACTCACAGCAGTGTTACCTGGAGCTGAGGCTTCTGTCAGCCTCTGCCGTCCTCAGCATGTTGGTCAGAGCCTGCACAGCCTAAACTTTAGAAAAGAGCTACTGCCCAGTGAAGGGGAGAGGCCCCTCCTTTTTTTTTTTTTTTTTGCTTTCAATACATTCAGCTTACATGAACCTGGTTCAACAAGTGTATTAATGTCATCCAACAGTGATGAAAGAAATCCTGGTAAAAAACATTTCACAAGGAAATTAAAAACATGATTCACTTGTCTTTTTAAAAAATTTGTTTCCCTGCACGATAAAGTCTAGAAATTTAAGTTTATTTTCCATATTTCTTTCTGTAAATATTATCCACATGGCCTAGAAATGTCCAATTAAATACAAGTGCAAGCTCTGAGAGAATGTTTCAAAGGTAGTCATTTGTAAAAACAGTACATCTTTTACTTATTTAAACTATTTAAATAAATCAATAACTAGTTAAACCTTCTGCCACAATTAGTGAACAGCACTAGCTAAATCAAGATGTGAAGATAATACTTTTAATAATGCAGAAAACATCACAATGGCTGATCCAGTATTCATCTTACTAGTCATTTGAGCAGTTTATTGCTCTATACCAAAGTCAAAAATGCACAACTGAAAAACATAGGACAGCTATTACCTTTAAATACAAGCAAATCACAACAACAAAAATCCCAATTATATGGAAAATGTTTGAAGTGTATATTTACACACAATCATTAGTGAGGAATCTAGATCTCAGTGTCTTGAATTCATAATTAGGCAATAATTACAATGTCTATCCTGCACAGATATTAAAATACATATGTTGTAGTTGATAAAAATTATTTACTGAAAATTTAAGATCTAGAGATTTCTACTGACAGGAGGCTTCTTTATTTTCTTAAAGCTAAGCATGCGTTCCTTCTAGGATATTTCTAAATTTTTAGGTATTTAAATTTTGCTTTTCCTTAGAGCACGTGGCTGAATTAAGATTAAGATGGGCCAGCAGCCCCATATGAACAATTTTAAATGTAAACCCCCTTTACCAAAAGCTCAGTCTTTTATTTACCATGAAAACCCAGACTATAGCACTTGCTACACGGCACTGAGAATGACAGCCCTTCCTTGAGGTCGTCGTCCCAGAGCGTCCATGGTGTGTGTGCAGGTGTGTGTGTATGAGTGTGTGTGTGAAGAGTTCTCTTCCCCTTATTTCAGTTGTGTTGACTTCTAATTCTGTATAATGACAATGTAACACAATCATGAGTTGCTGGATATTTATAAGAGTAGGTGCGAAAATGCAGATCTCTTACCTGAAGTATGATGACAGGGTACTGAGAGAGGGAAGAAAATACAGGTTAATGTTATTAGAGTGCATTCTTTTTCACAAGATACTGCATTATAATTATAGACTTAATTTAATTCCTGAGACAGCCCCGCTTTCCTAGAGGATGGAGTTTATAAGGAAATTTAAAGATTCTAAGAAAACACCAAATGTTAAAAGATCCCAAACCTCTTCTGGGAAGTGGAAAGCAGATCCCACTCACTTAATTTTTTCTTTAGATGATGAAGATCTCTAAAGAGGTAGAAATCAGCTGACAATTAAGGAAAGTTTTACATGTCAGTTTGAGACTTAGCATTGAGATTCTAAGAGTATACCTACATACTTCGCATTGGTTCCTATTTCCATACTTTTGAAAAGCTTCCTGATGACACATTACATAGCAATGGATTTATTTTATTTGTTTACATTTTATTATGCTGTTAAAAATTTAAAATATATATATACATAAAAAAAAATGAGCTCACCAATTCATCAATAGGTTTGAATTTGGTATCCAGAGTCACTATGCGAATTTGAACTAGAAAAGAGGAAGAGGGGACAATTTTTGTTGTTGTTAATTCGCCCCCAGCTGTGATGACATGTACCTAGATAGAAATTCACTTGTACATAGATGGAACTTGCTCCCATAGAAAGTGCACCCTTCTCTCCCACCTCTGTTTTGACCTGCTGAGATTTGGGTTCCATTTGGAAAGATCTCTTATTGCACATTTGTAATCTGTTGATACTCTGATGTTCTGTTACCAAAGTTGACACTTTACCATGAAAGCCCACAGGGATAGGGATATCTTTAAAATTAGTGGCTGCATTAGTCATAGATGACAAATATGAAATATGCATGATAGGAGTTAAACATAATTTTCCTGGAAGATATATTGATGTTGGCTGTTAGATTAATTTTGGCAGACTTCCAGAAAAGCCCATTTTAGCTACTTTTGTATACATAACTGCCATCATAGCATTTAAATAAAGGGTATAATGCAGCAAAAAATCCTACTATTAAGAGTTTTAATTTTAGCTCTTTTTCTTTGCAATAACTCATCATAATATATGTTAGAACAAATTTGTAGATGCTATTTCATCCAACCCTGTAATGTGACCAATAAGAAAAAAAAAATCTTAATGATTAGAATGCCCTTGACAAAAGCCAGTAATTTATTAAGAGCCAAGACAAAAATCAATTAAATTCTGAATCCTGGTTAGGTGTACTTCTTTGCACCTTTCTCCTTATAACCACAAGGAAGAAAGGACTTTGCCTCTGTTACCAGATTTATGGTTATTTATACTGATATAAATAATGATAATGGTGATGATAATATCATTATGGAGTCTTTATTGTATGCTAGGCACTATTTTACATTGACTGTCTTACTTTATCTTCACAAATGAGACACTTATTATCTTCATTCTGCAGATAAAAATCTAGTCTAAATAGAGGTTTAATTAGTTTGTGCCACTGTTAAATTATGAAGCAACAATTCTAAGGAAATAATTTGGCTTCACATTCTGTTTTAACTATTGTTTCATAGAAGCCTTTCTCTGGCATTTGTAAACAGTGAGGAGGCAAACAAAATGTTAAGAAGCCAAGCATTCATTTACTGAGGTTAAAGGACACAATTTTATAATTCATCTAGATCACCAGTACTTATCTTAGAAATCCATGACATTAAGAATAAATTCATTAAGATTAAAGATTAATCTTAAGACATTAAGATTGAAATTCATGGATTGCTCTAAATGTGAAGTGTGTGTTCCTAAATTCAGTAATAAAAGGAATCATAAATATTGACTTACCATTCTCTCCAGATTTATAAATGGGTTTGTCAGTTTGCACAAAGGTTACTGTTTCTTCTGAAACAAGTGCTACAGATCTCCTCTCAAAGATTTGAAGAGTCTTTCCCTTCACCAACAAGGTCAAAAAAGACAACTGTGCAGAAGACTTTTGAGAAACCTGTTATGTGAAAAAGCAGAATGGAAAATTATTGTACTTGTTAAGAGGGTAATGTTTTAATTTGTCTTCTCAGGCTGAAAGAGTCTTGAAAACCTATTTTTTTTTTTATTGGGAGGCTTAGCAATCACTATTTAGTATAAGAATTTCTAATACACTTATTTTTATGTCTCCTTTTTTTGCTGCCTAGATCTCATATCCATAGCCTAGATTCTCTTCCCTCACGTCATTCAGCAGTTGTACTACCTACAGTGCAGAACTGGGTCATGTAACTCTCCTTTCACTAGAAAATGGCAATATTTCCCTAGTTTTGTTGACTAGGTACCTTTCCCTTTTATTTTTTGCTTCTTGGGAATTTTCTGGTTTTACTTCATGGCTTCCACAACTCATCCAAGATTAAGATGTGTTATCTCTCCAAAAAGAGTATTTGTGTACTAATTTCATCTTGCCATTTGAAATCCTGAAGTGGCAAATTCAGTGCCTTACCTTGAAATCTGCACAAGCATAGAAGTGATCCTCTTTCACTGACTGATCAAAGATAGTGGTGTTGAACCCATCGTATTCTAAGACAACGCTCAAGGAGACGGATTCATTAAGGTGTAGAAGGTGAAGACAGGCTTTTTCTGTAGAATGACTTCGAATCACAGGGGACACCCATAGGAGATACTGCCTGGGCACAGAAAGTAGCCAACACTGTGAGCAGGAATAGGAGAGATGCAGAGCAGGCAAACAATGCGCCATGAGCTACTGAAATATGTCTGAAACATACATCTTTTCCTTAGTCACCTTTCCCATTAACTGGTTTAAAATGTATAAGGCAAACCAGTTCGCAGTCTCAGAAGTTAAAATGGTACAAAAGAATCAAATTTTACAATAGAACATATTTAATAAAGTCACCTTGCTAGTATTTTAATATGAATAGAAAGTATAATATTCCCTTACGGTTCTGAAGCCATGGAAACAGTAAAATGAAGCAAAATGGAGCTCAGACAAATGATGGGCACCATTTTATGCCAAGGTCTGAAAAGAGATCAAGATAAAATATTCGCTCTCTTGTCATTTGATGTTAACTGCCTCAACTCTGAATTGTCTTTCCTTCTTTCTCTGCAGCTCTGTGTATTGCTGCTTTTATAGCCGCACACAATGAAGGATCAATTACTTTCAGCAGCTCCACTCAGTGACAGGCCAATCCCATTGCTTTCCCTCTCCCATTCTTTCCTGGAGGTGCCACTTAATGTACCATTTCCTTCTTAAATTAACTGGATTCTTTTCTATTTTTGGTATCAGTAGGGCAGGTTGGACAGGAAAAAGAGAAACAAAAGAAAAAGCCTGTGGTCCCACACTTAAGGAGTTCTTTAGCTCGTGAGCACTTAACTCGGAGGCCTGGCTGCAGGATTAAAAATAGGAATTGGCAAGTGGATAAAAAAAAAAACCTCCCTGCAAAAAGCTGTTATCATTCCAATTCCCCCAAAGATAAAATATCCAGGCTTAGGAGAGTAGCATATCTGATGTTGATGATGGTATCGCTCGTTTTATAGATAATTGAAATTTAAGTTATTCTTTTCTAGTTTCACAGGATTTAAAATTTGGCATATGTTCCATATTTACTATGAAGGGAGGTTTTCTATGAAAGTTCAATGTATTTTTCTACCCTAAGCATAAGAAAAAAAAATTAAGGTATTAAGAACAGTGTGAATATGCACAAATACACTACTCACTTCTTGGGAAAAACAATTTGTGAGGGCAGAAATCTGCCTCCCCCAAACATGTCTTTAGCAAGAGATTTATCTCATGGGAGGGACTCTGAGGCTGGGTAGAAACTGCTTTTGATTTTATCTATCACCTTCTGTCTGAGGACCTCTGCCAGAAAGATCTAATATCCTCATCTCTTCACAGTGGGAAAGGCATGTCTTTAAATTCCTTTGTTTTCCCAATAAACACCCTAACTGCACTTCCCTTTTCTTCCTCCAACCCCCCTTGATTTAGCTAAGCTATTTAAGAGGATACCTGAAGCCACATGGGCTGTTCAGTCCTGCTGGGTCTCTTTCTGCTGATACCTAGGTGATACATATGCTATTATTAAACTTCTCTGTGACCTTGTGTCTTTCTGCCCAATGCTTATCGATTGCCAGTTTAGAAGAATCCAGAGGGTTATAGGGTCCTGTCCTTTGCACCCCAACAACAGTCATTTTGACTGCAAATCATTCTTGTTATAGAGTTCATCCTTGGGTAGTGCAGTAACCCAAGGAACGGTGGTGCCATTTTCTCTGCCTTCACTTATACAAGTCCCAGATGACCATGAGCCAGATTTTCTGAATGGGGACAACTGGGAAGGAGGGAGGCGGGAGGCAGCTATATGTAAGTATCAGAGCTGGAATGAAGGAGAGAGGAGAGGCACTTGGAGGAGAGACACATTTGCCAAAGACAATAGAGAGGTAGTTCCTGGGACTTTTGCGTTTTAGCTGAGACACTGGCAGTGTATCTTGACTTCATCATGGATTGTATGGTACATTTTGAATTTCAGGTGTCTCTGGTCCCAGCTTTCTAGGACCTTTCTAACCTCTTTCTGATGGTTCCCTGCCAGAAGGTAGACTCATGGCAAGCTTTTGCACCTTCTCTGACCCACTTTGGGCCAAGCCTGTTTGGATAGGTGCGTGCCTATCAGGAGATGGATAATTTTCAGAGTTTGACTGGAAAACTCTTATTTTGAACCCTGTTCTTGCCTCCTCTGTGCAACTAATTAATGTTCTTTCCCACTTAGACTACATTTTCTTTTACTCTGAGCATAGGCTGATGGATGCTTTTAGAATGTGCAAAAAGGGTTCCCCCTTTAACAATTTAGGGTCCCTGGGTACTTTTTTGTTCCAGTTGCATTTCTGCAAATAAAAAGAGCTTACCAAAGAGCCATTTGATAGGATCTCCTACATGTGTTTATTCTCTCATTTGTCATTTTTTTTCCCCTCTCTTCTGCTCCTTAACTTCAAAAAATTAATTTCCTCCACTTATGTCCACTGTTTTTGATAGGGGCCTTTTATACTCTGGTTGGCATTTCTGAGCATTCCTATATTAGATAAATCATTCCAGATGTCAAGGAGATCATGTCCCATGAGTCTTTATTCTATTAAGGTAAATAGAACTGTGTGTGGATTAAGCCCAGGAAAGAAGCAATGGGGAAGCTGGCCATCTCCCTAGGGCAGGACAGTTACCTGGTCCAGGCCTAACATGGTGTCCTAACAAGATGGAGTCATTTTGGTTTAACTACAAATATAAAAACATAAATTGCAAAGCCACGTGTTACAAAGTCTCTCTTGCATTAAGATTATAGACAGTGCTCAAAGGCATTATATTAAAACAATAAGTGGCAAATGGGTAAAGAATTTAATAAGCAGGTTTTGAAATGGGAACCCTAAAAAGATTATAAATTTTACAGGTGGAGCAGAAATTGAAGCAACTATTATTGATTAACAGCTTTTTGAAAAAAACTATAAGCATTCTGTGTGTTTCAAAAATAAAAGTAGGTTCTGTTTTGGTGAGGGAAAGTGTGGTATGAAATGACATTTAACTCAAGGTTATGATTGATTTGTGAAAAGTCTTTGTGCTTAGGAATTCCAATGGTACTTTGAGAAGTAGTGAGTGTGATAATTGTACTCTGTGGAAAACTGAACAGTATGAAAGTAAAATAGTGATAAGCCACATGGGAGTGTGTTCAGAGACGGTTCCAGGTTCCAGAGGTAGGAGCCTGCATGAGGCATTGATTCTTGAAGAGACATTTTATTTTACTCCGTTGTTAGAACTTGAGACAGTTTGGTACAGAGATGAAGAGGGAGTGGTTAAGATCGACAGTGATGGCGTGTCCCATTGCAGTTAGACAAGACAGGAAGACAAAATGAATATGTAGTAGACAAAATGAATATGAAGCGAAGTTTGAAGTTTGATAATTAGTCAGTATGAGGTGATCGCAGAACCACAAAGGAGGTGACAGCTAGGAGATGCGGATGTAGATTTGGGTCTCACTGCAAATAGTGCTTAATGTCATGGGCATTGCTAAAGCTACATAGAAAGACCAGTGATGGGAAAGAAGACAACCAGTGGCAAGAAGAAGGCTACGATCTGGCTTGCTCTGCCTCACCAGCTGGATGATATTCAGCAGATCTGGGGTCATATTAGTTACTTCCCTAGCACCACTGGGTTGAGGCAATTCCTTGGGTGTTATGACATTTAATGTTTTATAAATTCCTTAAATAACAGGAAAACATTTTTATTTTCCCAACTTAATTGGGAAAGCATAATTTCCTAATTAACTGGAAATAATTCCCCAATTTAATTGGAAAGACACATAATTTAATGTCAGTCTACTTTAAATGTCAGAAATGTAAAAACTCAGTTTCTGAGAACTGGAAGACTTTTGAAGAGACTCTTGAATGTCTGATTCACCTTTGTGACATGTTGAAGGTAACATTGCAAGTAAGAGCATTACCCAAGGTCACTAGAGTATAGGTTGTTGCTATGTTAACTCTAAAATAAAACTTCTGATGTTGCAATCTGCTGAGAGGAAAGTCACCTGTTCCCCATAAAGGAATTTGACCAGTCCTATTGACCTTCATGCTCTCAGATGTTTACCTCCTGCATCACTGATCAGTTGTTAAGAGTTGCCAAGACGTTCTAATCACACAATGCTTATTCTAGATGAATGGTTTTAAAAAAGGGGCCATTGACCTTGAACAGCACAGGTTGGAGCTGCAAGGTGTTCACCTGCACACAGGGTTCTGCATTCATGGATTCACATAAATACAAATGTCTGTTGGCGGGTCCCTGTGCATACAGCCAGCCCATGGGAAGGCAGACTCCAAGTTATCTATGGGTCTTTAACTGAGGAGTGGCGTGTGTGTCTGTGTCAGGGTTGGGGTCCCTAGTCCCTGAGTTTTCAAGAGCAACTCGTACAGAATGTATCTTGGAAAGGCAGAGGAGAGTCAGAGTATAGGGGGCCCAGAAACAGAAACTCACCCCATTTCCATGCACCTGTCTTGGATAATAACTCCCGGCACACCGTGAACTGGACTTTGGGGGGTGTGTGTGAGATAGGGGGGCAGGGGGTTAGGGCAGCTGGGAAAGAGGAAAGGAAAAGCAGACATTAATTGGAAATGGACTAGAGAAAGGACAGGCATATGGAGAGAATGCTCCTTAGACTTTAGCATTTTGGCACTGGCAGTGGCAGCCATTACTGAGAACAAGTGTGGGATTATGTGGTATATTTTGAATTTCCAGTCTCTTCTACCCCAGCTCTCTAGGACCTGCCTACCCCCTTCCTCGTGGCTCCTGCAGGTATAATGAATGTGACTGTCTTTAAGAAACTACATTTTTTTCCCCAACTCTACAAAGTTTGACATTGTCAAAGCTAAGATTTTATCCTAGGTTATTTAGGGTCAGATTTTAGCCTTCCATTTGCCTTCCATGCTAAATAATATCACTCCCCCAAGCAAGCAAACAGGACGATAAATAAATAAGCATGCAAACATGAAATAGAATCTTACTAAATACTACCTTCTTTGAAAAAACATGGTCTTAGCAACAACACTTAGACTTCAGCTAATATTACCCATTCAACACAGATTATTATTCATTGGTTCCAAAATGATTTGTTTAAATGAACTTGTCATTCAAATACTTACTGGACACTTTTACTATCTGCCAAATATTGTAAAAGGTACTGGGAGTTTTAGTGATGGACAAGATATATGTGATTCTCACTACAAGAGATTTTTACAACTTGATGGAAGAGACATTTTAAAGACCAGTAATAATTCAGTATGCTAAGAGTCTGGGTAGCGCCACAGGCGTGAGAGGAGCACACAAGAGTGGTGCCTTCCACAGTCCTCACCACAGGGAAGGCTGCCTTCTAGAAAGTATGATCCTTCATGTCACAGATAGGCATTTGTTTGTAATACAGATATGTCTGTAGCTCTCCCTGGTGGCACAGTGGGTTAAAGTGCAGCACAGCAGGCAAGCT